TGTAATTCAAGGAACTTCTGATTCAATGGGAATGTTGGTAAAAGGAGTTAGAGAGCACATCATTAGGCCCGTCTGGGACGCTCTGTTCTGGCCTCTGTGCGCTCTAGGATTGATGTGTGGGGTGATTATTTTAATAATCGGTATGATTTTGGCCTGTAAAAACAACAAGTGGCAGTTGACAGGAAGAAAGCTGTTAGGAGAAAGGAAAAAGGATCTGGTAGATCCAGATAAGATGAGAAGAGAGGTGTCAAGGTAGAGGGAGCATTAGCCCCCTTCTTGTTGCTCCTGTTTAAGTGCAGGCCTCTCTGCACCGCGTGTCACTTGCTCCTTAACTGTCAATCTGTAACTTGAAGTGAACCAATGGCTCATCAAACTCACCCTGAATCTGAGCTGATTGACGCTCTGAATCTGGAGGTATGTCAGGATTTTGTAACTATTTTATCCAGTTTGTCTTTAAGATGTTGTAGACATTTCATAACTGGTGTACACTTGTTGTGAGGATTATTGTTGTAAAACTATGCCTGCAGATAGGAATTGTAGTGTGGTTCTTCCTGCAGCTTCTGATGATTTATTTTCTCCTATAATTAAGAAGTGTTTATGCAGTAATGCAGTTACTTATTGCTTCATGGAATGAGTTATATATCTCATGTGGAACATATTTTATGTTCCTTCCAGATGGACTCGATTCGGCAGAATATCATAGAGGGATTAATCCCCTCCGCAGGTCCATCAACTGTTTTCTCTCTGAATGGCGCATACTATTTGTGCACCGTGAATCGCGGGAGGGATGGATTGCCTCAGACTAAGACAATCGGGCTCCAGTGTGAACATGCTACGATGAATAAACGCTGCGTGTCTTGCAGGTTTATTCAGTACATCCAAACCAAATGGAAAAGGGATTCGAGCGGGAGACTGATCAGGAAGACGACATACTAATGTTGTCCTCCCCGGGAGTAGATGCCCTGCTTGAGCAGGCCCACGACGAGGAGCTGACAACGGCGCCCTCATCTGACGTGGCTGAAGAGGTTGTATCAGTAATGACGGCAGCTTCGACATGCATCCCGTGTCCTGATGTGATACGTGAAATCCCTATGGTCTGTCTAAGTAGTGAGCCGGCAGGCATTCCTTCCCCTGTCCGAATTGCACCTGGGAGAGAAATGAGATGGAGGATTAAATCCCAGAAGGGGTGTTACTTTGTTTGTCAAGGCAAGATTATAGATTGCTTTCAGTTTATGAATATTTTGTCTGTAAAGACTGGATGGTTCGGCCCAGAAGTCTGTGACTCTTTTGGGACCGCACCTTTGTTGGATACGAAAAATCATGTTTTGGTTTTTAGCGCCAGCTTCCCACCTCAAATGATGGGATCGCTTCCACGTGGAGAAGCTCCGGTGATGGATTTATCTTTATTCTTTTTGGGCGAAGATCCCACAGATGGGAGAAAGCATTTTAAAGGTTATGTAACAACCCGCAAAGGGACCTTGTGCTTACCCGTAGCTGATGATGGCATTATGATGAGAATGAGGGTTGATGTGGAGGCCACAGTTAGGTGTCTGAGTGTTCAGCCGTTCCTGAGTGAGATGGATGCTAGATTTATGAAGGCTTGCATTGCTGCCCTATCTTTTTATGGTCCTTTGCCTCAGTTCGTCCTCATGGGGGATGTTGCAAGTCCGAGCAATCGGTCAAGGCTTAGAAACAGTGGTCAGAGACAAGGGTCACACAAGGGTCAAGAGGACAGTAGTTCAGGACTTGCTGGTGAGGACAGAACTAGGCAAAGGGTCAAAGGACAAGCTGTCTTCTCTGGATCCACCCATGGACACACCCCTGGGCCCGCCCCTAACTCCACCTCTGGCGGGAAAAGAAGGAATGGCATGGAGTGAGGAGAAGTCCAGCTGGACCCAGGAGCTCTCAGGAATGCTGGAGGAAGATCTACAATTTGCTACCAACATGAAGATTTATGACCTGTGCTCTCATTCCAGGAGTGCAGAATGTAACTTTTGTGCCCTCATGTGAATACTGCATGTAGTGAAAAAAGATACCAAATGTCTTATGTAGAGCTAAAAAAGTGTATCTGGTAAATGACCCCTTGACCTAAACTGTCAGGAGAGAATGACTTGTGACTCTTACATTGTTTAGAGCAGTCTCAGAAGTGATATAAAAGGATGCAGCTCAGATCGAGCGGGGCTTCGTTCTTGGGGAGATTCTGAGAAGACAGGAGCTAGTGTAAACTAACTCTTATTTAATCATTTTGAACTAATTCCTCCGTGGGGGATAGCAGTTGTTTTTTATTTACCCATTTTTGTATTTTTGATTTTGTAATAAACTTTTTTGAAAAAGAAACATAATCCTGATTCTTTCAGGTTTTCTCTAAAGCTTCACGTTTGGAGCCCTGGCCATAATTGCACAGAGGTAAGCATGTCGAAGATCGGTCTCTGAATTATCAGGACTTACTTTACAGTTTATAACAGAATAATATAAAGAAACCTTAAGATAAGGGAAGTTTTAACTTCCCCCTCCTTGCGAGTAACGAGTTGTCTTAAGGGTGATAAAAGCAAAATATTCGAGGTTATTTTGGCTCTGATTGCAGGTTGAAAAAGTCTCTAATCAGCTGGAAGGTTGGATTAATAAATAAATTGATAAACTTATGTTAGCCTGATCAACTAGCATAAATCATTTTATAGTTACCAACCTCCCACATAAGCTGTTAGAGGCGCAATTAATTCCGGGTAGCCCAAACAATTGCTGAGAGGCTTGGCTTGCCTCCAGACTTCTCTCTAGTATCTTAACCAAAAGGTAACGAGTTTAAAAGAAGTGTAGTACTCTGGGGCTGGCTATTCGTGCAAGTCATTTCACCTTTAAAATAAAAGACAAGATTCTAATTAGGTAGTCCAAACCCGGATCTGGTACGATTATACTCGTCGATACACCCCCGAACCCTGATGGATGCACCGTCTCATAAGTTCTAACGGAACTGGGTTTTAAAGGAACCGGTAAATAGGACGGGCACACGACACTCTCAACTATCGTCACGAGCTTTGGGTAGTCATGGAAAGAACGAGATTGCGGATACAAGAGGCTGAAATGAGATTTCTCTGCAGGGTGGCTGGGCTCTCCCTTAGAGATAGGATGAGAAGCTGTGTCATCCAGGAGGGGCTCGGAGTAAATCTGCTGCTTCCACGTCAAGAGGAGCCAGTTGAGGTGGCTCGGGCATCTAGTTAGGATGCCTCATGAATGCCTCCTTGGTGAGGTTTTCCGGGCACATCCAACTGGGAGGAGACCCAAAGGAAGACCAAGGACACGCTGGAGGGACTGTGTCTCTTGACTGGCTAGGGAACGCCTTGGGATTTCCCCGGAAGAGCTGGTCCAGGTAGCTTGGCAGAGGGAAGTCTGGGCATCTCGGCTTAGGCTGCTTTCCCTTTGGCCCGACATCGGATAAGCGGTTGAAAATGGATGGATGGATGGATGGATGGATGTGTAGTGTGTTTACTTCTGTGTGTTTACAATTTGTCTCTCATTCTCCACCTCGTCATGAAGTTGCCACATCCAAACCCACGTTTCCCATAACGTCCTCCTGACACATATAAAAAGTTGCCACGTATATTTGTGCTTCTTCAGTCACAGATGTAGTTTACATAGTTAATGTTTTTCTTAGAGCTTCTACTTTCTGTGTCTGCCAATAGATATCTTCATCTCTTGTTCAATTTTTTTGACTGGGGATGGTGCTGATGTTGATAAAGTTAACCCTCTGGAGACAGGCGTTGCAGATTTGCAACGTTAAAACCTACCTACCTGGTTACTCCACATGCATATTTCATGAGCATTTTTTAACTCAGACGTACCCCTGAAGGACTTAGTTGTTCATCCTTTTATCAAAACTTATTTTGAGCCTGAGAGGGTTAAAAGGAAGCAACATCCTGACCAATCATAGGCTTGCAGTCTCCGTCGCCTTCGATGGATTGTTAGAAAATTGGGGTCTACTCTGTCCTTGCCAGCTTGTTGGAGAGCCCCTGCGACCACAGGTAATGGTGTTGTGCGTCTCCAAACGGAGAAGTAAACTAGGCCTCACCCCTTATTTACTCCGTGTGCACTTGATGTAAATGAGGGGTTGCTCATGCATCTGTTCATCAGCCCAGCTGTTCTCACTTAGTAATCACCTTTCCCTCTACTTATACTTCAGGTTTTTCAGTCAGTTCCTACTCTTGTGCCCTTATGCCATGTTCCAGCTTCTTACTTGTTTATGTGCACACGTTTTTTCTAGTCTATTTGTTAGTCTGACTTTGCTGCCTCATCAGATTCTTATTTGTGATTCCTTCACTTAGTTTCTTTCCTTTGTGTTTTTGCTTTGCAGCTATAAAATGACGTATTCAAGACATAAGTTTTCATCTCATCTATCCATCCACCTTTTTTACTCTCTAAATCCACGCAGGGTCGCAGGGGGGGCTGGTGCCTATCTCTAGCAGTTTTTGGGCAAGCAGGCAAGGTAAACCATGGACAGGTTGCTAGTCCATCGCAGGGCAACACAGACACACACAGGACAACCAAGCACACACACACACACACACGCACACTGTTTAACGTGTCCTTCTGATGTTTGTGAGAGCGCACGGGTGTGGCGGGAAGGTAGGGGGTGGTTAGCGTTCTGCCAAAGACAAGGTGAACGGTCCTCTGCAAAGACTTGGCTCTCATCATTCACTTCCAAAATCCGATCAAAAGACTCAATTTGTTCGTGAATGTCACATCACTACTTTCAAATATTTGATCACATATTCCACATTTAAAGCAAAATAGCTAAAGTTGAGCTCTCTTTACATTAAATCAGCTAACACAAACTCACTTATTAGTGGTTTACTTAGATTAATAAACCAGTAAATGAGAATGGACAGGCTCACGCCCCTTGTTCTCTTATTTTATCTTCTGAATGAATATTCCAGCTGAGTTTTTTCAAACATCTAACTCGGTATATAACTGAGCAGAGCAAACCATAAGACTGCAGGAATCTGCACCTATTTTCTGGTGTATTTTGTCCTGGATGTCAGGAAACTTGATGAGGTAGAACAAGCTCCACTGCAACCCAGCAAAGATGGTGTCAAAACCTTCAAAAGAGTACCAACAAAACAACTGAAATAAAATCTACCCAGTAGGAAATTATGTATTATAGTCATGCAATAAAAGTCAAGAGACAGAGTTAGTTTTACCTGCACCAAAGATGTCTATGACAGTGTGAATGATCTGAGAATCGGAGAGCTGAGACGTTTCTTTACTTTCTTCTCTGTCTTCACACAGTTGAATCAGAGCATCTGTAATATCCCGCATACAGTTCTGTAATCACACACACACACACACACACACACACACACACACACACACACACACACACACACACACACACACACACACACACACACACACACACACACACACACACACACACACACACACAGAACATTAATAACTTTGCTGTGATGTCACTCCCCTGGCTTAAAACATGTTTTTCTTCTGATTATATTAATTAGGTTTAAGATTTAAGAGCATAAATCAGGAAAGAGGCGGTGCTCAGTTATAGTAGGAAGTGTGTATTCTACTAGGTTGGTAATTCTTAACTGGAGTGCACGCAATCATGTTAGCCTCTCTGCACAAGAAAAAAAGCCCATTCCAGGGTACTTGTTTGTTATTTTGTGGCTTGCTTCTGTATGTTTGTGAGGTCAGATTAAACAGAAGCAAATTAATGGGAAGAAAGAAAACACCATCAGACTCGCCTTCCCCAAGATTGTGCAATCTACAAAGTCTTGTGTTTGTATTGTGCAATTGCTGTATGGAACGTCATGTGAAATTGGGCCATTAATCAAGGTAGTGAGATTACTGGTTTGATAACATATTGGAACAATCATTTAGGAGTTGGCAGTCATGTGAAATCTTGTTGTGTTATACACAACTTTTCTTGTCTCCACACTGCAAAACATCCAAGGAAAATGCAAAGAAAAAACACAAGTTCAATATTTCCACAGAAGCTAGTAACCAAAACTAAAAGGCCTTTAATTTTGAAGAGCTGAAGATAAAAGTTTTGAGAATTACATAATTATTACTTGTAACAAAAAGATTTTAAAACAAAATTTTGTGTTAATCTCAAACTTTTCCATTGAATCTGAGGTCTTGTCTGCAGGATTCTTTACCTTATCAAAGGTGTTGATGTGTTCCTCAATCCTTCGCTCCATGAATCCATTCATTCTGCGAATGTACAGGACCAGTTTTCTCAGAGAGGGACTCGGAAAGTAACGGAACACGGGAAAGAAATCCGCCAAGTTTCCTGCTGCAAAGAGTTTCAGGACCTCGTTGTTGATGTTGATGATGGTGAGGAACTCCTCATCGTTGTGGTCGTATCTTCTTCCAAAACAAAGGGCACACACAACATTTGCCACAGAGGTCAGCAGGGATATTGATGGATCTACGCCTATTGTTTCACAGTCTGCTTGAATTTTAATCATCTCCACCATCTCTGCAGCCTCGGCACAAATGTGCTCCTCCAGGAGGCAGGTGGCCCCGGATGCCCTCGGCTCAGCCTGGGAAAAAGACCTGAGGGCGTTTTTACACAGCTTCTTGTGAAGCAGCCATGTGGGCCCATACTTCTCACTGAAGGTCATACTGGTCCCATTAGCTACAGCAGAGAAGGTGAAAAGCTCAGGCCGTCCAGCAAAGTCTTCTCCCTGACGAACCAGAGCCTGCCTGATGGTGGAGAACCCACTGAGAACAACAACTGGTAAAGAGCCCAAGCTCATCTGAAACAAAACATCAGATTACACAGAACGAATCAATAGATTTCTCAGAAATAATCAAATATTTTTGTTACCTTAAAAACATCTCCATACTGATGCCCCAAGCGAGTCAGAGAAAGATGCATCTGGTCCCCCATCTGGAGCAGATTGCCCACAAGGGGCCATGGTGTGGGACCCGGAGGATAGAGGAACTCCAACTGTGAGTCAGAATGGCTGTGGAAAAATAATCTGTGCTTCTGCTGGACCCTGATGGCCATGAGGATGACGGTGAAAAGACACAGAGCAGAAGTGACACTGGACACAGAGACACAGGGGTCATCCATGACTGGCAGATTAGCAGACAGCACCAGCCCCATACTGCTGCTTAAAGAAAAGGGAATTGTCAACAGAGAAGGTGATTGTTTTGGTCTTGATCCCGGATAGTGTGCCTGTTAACGAAGAACAAAGACAGGAAGAGAGAGAATAAATGCAGGAAAAGTGAGAAGCTCCTCCTAACGCCCTGTTAGTTTGTGTATAAAAAGAAGTCGTTCAAGTTCACCTCTACATTAAATGAGTTTTTGTTCATAATTTAACATTTAAACTAAACAGATGCATGAAAATAGTCGCGTTGGGTTTAGCGCAATCTGGCAAACAAATAAATCATACAGAAAAAAACATCTCTGCAGGATTATAGGAAACTTTGAATTTTATCTTTAAAGAAACTCACCAAACAATGTCCTGTATAGCTTCGCTGTAAAAACGTTAAAAGACATGAGACAGAAACGCGCAGCAGGAGAAGTTTGGAGCGTGCCGAGTTGGAAACGGTGGTTACGTCCCTCTGCAGAGGAAACCGGAGCTGGCCACTTTCTCTGTGGGTGTAATCTTCATTCAGGATGAATAGGCTAAAATATAATATAAAACATATAAGCAGTTTGTGCATTTAGAAATCTATAAATTAACATTTTTGAGCAAATTCGGTAGTTTTCATGTATCTTATTTTTACAACATTACAGGCTAAATTCTGTTAACGTTTATTCTGTCAAGTTTTTAGCACAGTTTAGGTGTAAAAACTGTTTTTAAGGTAATAGGAAAATCTTAGCCTGGTCGTTCTGACAGTGGGGTGTATTTTCTGCAATGTGTCACCAGGGGGCGGTGTTCATCTGTAAGGACAAGACTGCAGTTAATCTTGATCTAACAAACCTTCTGTATCGGTGGAGATTTATTTTATCTCTACTGCCTCTATTTATAGAGCTATTTAGAGCTATAAACTACAAAGTCACATGATATCAGTGACTGAAATCAGTCAAATGTTAGTTTCTTAAGTTGACGTTACCTGTGTCTTTTGCTCGCTGATGTTGTTTTCTTATTTAAAAATTCCCATCTCACACTCCACGGGTGGTCTCATCCTTCCAAGCTCAGGTCCTCTACCAGAGACCTGGGAGCCTGAGGGTTCTGCAGTATCTTAGCTGTTCCTAGAACTGCACTTTTCTAGACTGAGATGTCTGATGTTCTTCCTGGAATCTGCTTTGGTGGTTACCGCCCCAATGACCATGGGCACCACTGATGTCTTCACCCTCCAGGCTTTCTTAAGTTCTTCTTTGAGGCCCTGGTACTTCTCTAGTTTCTCATGTTCCTTTTTCCTGATGTTGCATCACTTGGTATTGCCACAACAACCTCAACAACTGTCCTGTGTTGTTTGCCCACCACCACAATATCCGGTTGGCTCTCCATCACTATTGTGTCCGTCTGGATCTGGAAGTCCCACAGGATCTTGGCTCACTCAGTTCTCTACCACCTTAGGGGGTGTTACCCACTTTGACCTTGGGGCTTCCAGTCCTGCACAGATGTTTCTGTACACGATGCCAACCACTTGGTTGTGGGGTTCTATGTATGCTTTCCCTGCCAGCATCTTACACCCTGCAGTTATGTGGTGGATTGTCTCAGGGGCCTCTTTGCATAGCCTACACCTTGGGTCTTGTCTGGTGTGGTAGATCTTGGCCTCTGTTGCTCTGGTGTTCAGGGCCTGTTCCTGTGCAGCCGTGCCTCTGTGCTGTCCTTCAGACCAGCTCTTTCTAGCCATTGGTAGGATTTCTTGATATCAACCACTTCAGTTATCTGTTGGTGGTGCATCCCATGGAGGGGTTTGTCCTCCCATAATGGTATTTCCAGTATCTCCTCCTCGTTTCCGCATTGTCTGAGACATTCACTGAGCACATCTGTTCGAGCCTTATCCTTGATGTATTTATGGATCTTTGATGTTTCATCCTGGACAGTGGCTTTCACACTCACTAGTCCTCAACCTCCTTTCTTAGAGCTAGTGTACAGACTCAGGGTGCTGGACCTGGGATAGACCCCTTCATGCATGTTAGGAGCTTCTGTGACCTATACCTCGGTGTTCTGTATTTCTTCCTTTATCAGATTACTGGCAGGGCATGGCTGTTTGTTCCCCAAATTTTGTTCTTGCATTTTTTAAACTAGTGTAGTAGATATTAGTTATATAATTGCATTTTTGTGTACATATTTGTAAATAATCAGTATGCATACATACGTAGGTACGTACATGCATGCATGCTCATACAACTAACCAGTATTTGTTTTCAGTGTTGGGAAAGTTGTAATCTCCCGTTTATCATTCAGTATAATGGTTAAATTTCAATGCAAAATATGTTGATGTACTTTTTCTATTTTAGATTAAAGTAACTGTTGTATTTTTGGCACGATCGAGGTGGATGGTGCCACTATTAAAAGGAGATTAAATAGGTTCTAAAAGAAGGCAAGCAGCGCAACCTTCGTCTTCGTCTTCCTCCGCTTATCCGGGTCCGGGTCGCAGGGGCACCATCCCAACTAGGGAGCTCCAGACCGTCCTCTTCCCGGCCACCTCCACCAGCTTCTCCGGCAGGACCCCAAGGCGTTCCCGGACCAGATTGGAGATGTAACCTCTCCAACGTGTCCTGGGTCGACCCGGGGGCCTCCTGCCTGCAGGACATGCCCGAAACACCTCCCCAGGGAGAAGTCCAGGAGGCATCCTCACCAGATGCCCAAACCACCTCAAATGAATACTTCCGATCCGGAGGAGCAGCGGTTCTACTCCGAGTCCCTCCTGAATGTCTGAGCTCCTCACCCTATCTCTAAGGCTGAGCCCGGCCACCCTACGGAGGAAACTAGAGAGATATAAGGACCCACCTTTCGTCAAACTTTTGACAGGTCTATTGTTCTTTGAACTCATGACCTTACAGGTCTATTGTTCTTTGGCC